AAAGGTCGTTTCTGGACAGTTATGACTTCGAATTTACTGTAGAAATCGAAGAGCTTTGCTCTCTCTTTCTCTCTCGTACCATTACTACATATCGAATGAATAGTACACGTTCCTCTTAAACATAATGAATAATTTAACCATCTACATAAATTTAATGTTATTTTTTTTAACTTTAAACATTATAAATCATTAAATTATTATAATAAAGTCTAAGGGTACGTGTATTAAAATATTCCAATGATACAGTATAAATAGATAATAGAGTAATAATAAAACTTCCTATTTATAATTAAACTTTTGAATAATTTATAATGCAGTCATTATTAAATGTATATTAATGATAATTTATATATTTTGAAATTTTCTTTTTTTAAATTAATATTTTATGAGATACTATAATATATTGCAAGTATAAGTATAAGTACTGTACCTATGGATAAATAAAGTAAGTCGTTCGAATAACTTTAAAAATTTTATAATGAAATTTTTTTTTTTTTATGATTTTTCGAACGACGACGGGTTATGATAGTAATATAAATATTTAGAAAAACGAAATTTTCACATCGTACACATCCCATTACCATCTGCACAAGCCAATCACGATTTCGTCAAGTAGAAGTACGTGTCCGGATTTAACGTTTCCCAATTTCACTTCTGGAGTTTTAAAATTCGAGTCTCGTTTTCGTTTTTCCTTATTTCTTTCCGACAATAGTAGAAGTATGACTTTCATCATCCCTCCCCACCTTTACTATATATATAAGTTTTCCCCTTTCTCCTCCTCTCCCTCTTCTTCCTCCCTCTCTTACGATTATTCAAGCAAGCACCAAATAGATTTCATTTTAGCGACATTTATAAACCATTGATAGATTTTTTTTTAAAAGTTCAAAATAACAATAATAAAATCTAATTTTAATAATTTACTTTATATATATTTTACAAAGTTTTAAAATCAATTAGCGGCGCGCTTCGTCGATTCTTAAATGTATACAAAACTATGTCTTGCTGCTAGAATAGAACAATTTACTAACGACCATCACCCCGCTACATAAATTTTTAAAATAAATCACGGAAACAATTTAATCGATTGAAAACAAACGATTTAAATCCATTAATGGAGCAATTTGTTTTTAAATATTAACATTCTAGCTCGTAAATAACTAAATTTTACATTATTATATTCTTTATAAAATAAAACTGGAGCGAAATTATTAAAAAAAAAACATAATAATAATAATAAAATTATACACAAGTTAATATGCTTTAAAACATTTATTTAACGTTATAAAGCTTTATACATCTCCCGTATCATTAATTATTAGTCACCTTAAAGACTGTACAACTTAATAGGCCAATTATGCAACGGTAACATAAATGAATCCTATAAATCAACGAAATTAACTTACCTTCGATTGTAGGCAGTGTCGACGTCCTCCAAAATCTGGTTTTCACGCCAACTCGCTCCCTGTCTTTCTCCCTTTGCTTCTGCAACTGTCCTCTGCACTGTTCTCACGCAAGTATATGTAACTACGATGCCGAGTGTGCAAAAGTTAGAAACGGTTGCACGCTAAACGAAGGTTGTGTGAGTGTGTGTGTGGTCCGCAATGTGTAGACACACTGATATATAACACAGTCTCGCCACCCAGAAACCTTCTCTCGTATGGCTGCTAGGTCTGTCAGTTGTGTGTTCTAGTCGATGGGATGTAGTACAGTATGGGCATGCGCGCTGCAAACACGCCGTCGGTAGAAAAGTGATCAGTGGGAGCACAGACAGCTTGGGTTTTGTTGTTTCTCCCTTCACACCTTGCACAAAGTGGTGCCGCTCCTAATTGAACCAATAATTCAAATAAATGTCGACGATATACAAATGAATTAGTTTCGTTACGTTTCGTTCTCCATTAATTAATTTCGTTTCATATTTTTCCTATTTTTAGCTATCATTTCTTTTCGTTTTATCAAAAACAAATATATATATATATATATAAGTATTAAATAGTCACGTTTTATAACAATTTTAATGATTACTATATGCATAAGTCTATAGGCCCTATTTAATTTTTAATACTTTTAAAACGTAATTTGCGAAATAAATTAAGTTGTAAAAGTTAAAGACGATAATAAAAATTATAATGAAATCGAAGGGTTAAATTTTTTTTTCTCTTATATTCTACCCCTGTCTTCTTTTTCATGCTAAAGTTATAGTACCCATGCCAATTGCTAGAATATAGCTCGTTATCCAAGAAGGAAACTAGCAACGTTTATACAGAAGACCTAATGAGTTGCTAACAACGATTAGCTTGCTTTCCTGGTTTCTATACATCATAAAGGAAACATTGACAGGATGAGAAATGAAACGATCCTTGTCCTTCTAACTAGCTATCGAGCAGTCAAAAGTTATCACTTTTCAACTACTTGTATTTTGTTTTATTACAGTGTTATCGTTTTTCTAAAGCTTTACGAAACTTTTACTAGATTTTTCGACACTCGTAATCTTCAAATTTATGACACGACTTAAAAGCATTTAATATTTTTATTTCTTTCTAATTATCGCATATGTAATAGAGAAATAATGATAATGTTCTTGAACTCTTTGTCTCTTGTAAATCTCGTTATAATGATATTTTATTATACATTCGAAATATTCAAAGCAGATTTAAATTCCCAAATCACACATAAGTTTCATTTATTAATCAAATTTTAAAGAGGAATAAAATAAATAAATAAAAAATAAATAAAAAGTTCAATTTGAATAGAATAGAACGAATAAACATTACGATAAAACGAATTCAAGAAAATTGTGTCATTCCGATAGTCTCTTAGTTTCGAAACTATAAAAGGTCGTTTCTGGACAGTTATGACTTCGAATTTACTGTAGAAATCGAAGAGCTTTGCTCTCTCTTTCTCTCTCGTACCATTACTACATATCGAATGAATAGTACACGTTCCTCTTAAACATAATGAATAATTTAACCATCTACATNTAAAGGCATGGGTCAAGATAACCAAATAATACTTCTACATAATAAACAAAAGTTTTAAATGTTACAAAATTGGAAGCATAAAATTTTTATCATGCTTTGGTTGTGATGAAGCAGTATGATAATGTCATACAGAAATAATTATAGAACATTGTAAAATTAAAGAAAAGTTTTCGAAAGAAGGAGTATAGATGGATATTGTACAGTAAAATAATTATTGTTACTCGAGAAAGCAGGAAAAAAACCTTTTTTTTTCTGTTTTTTGTTATTTCAAGTGAAAATATCCTTGCTATTGTTTTTATTCGTTGCCAGACTGTTTTCACTATTTCATCAAAGTCAGAAAGAAAACACAAATATATATATTGATATCGGTCAGAAGGGTGTTTGAAAATCTACTTCTTAGATAATCTTTGCGAGAAAGATATTAGTTTTTGAAGAGAACTCGAAAATTCTTTCGCCCCCTTTTTTTAGAAGAAAATAACAATTTTTTGTTTGTTTTTTTTTTGGCTTTCTTTTCTAAGATATCGTCGGATATGTTTTATTCGTAAGGTTATGACTGATGTTGTTGGATATATTCCCCTGTATATCTTACTATATCTATGTACATCTATGGAAACTGATCTTCTTTGTCATAAATGATGAATGGTTTCCTTTGTTTTGTCTGATCCCTTCTACTTCTATGATATTTGTATAATACGAAGAGGTAAAGTGTCTAAACGTGAAATATGACCCTAAAGTGTTTTGGTTGTAAAGTTTAAAATATTAATATTTGTTTATTTATTTAGTAATTTTTCTTAAGTGAAATACGTGTCATATAATTAATAAATTGATTAATAAGATTTAACGATATTTTTTTCGGCGAAAACTGTTATAAAATGAGGCTAGAAGAATGAAATTACTCACTCGTCTCTTACTAGATTAAAAAATATTTATCTTCTTAGCTATAAAATAGATTTTTCGGTTATAGTTTTTGTAGAATTTTTCTTGCGATAAAAATTAAATAGATATTTGAGATGAGTGAGTGAAATAAAAACTGACGAATGTAAAAATTGATGTACAAAAATTTAATCTCCAAGCTCAACTCCCCTTCTGACAACAACAAAGAATCAGTACACGTCACTTCTCTAACTGCAGACGTCACTTCCGCCAAGACTCTAATTTAGCTAAAAGCTCGAGACGCAACTCGGGTCTCCATTCACTTTTTTTTTCCTTTCTTTCTTTCTTTCTCTCCCTTCTACTTCTCCCGTTGCCAGGACGATCTAACAAATCGCTGCTTTGCATGGCACTCGCCCTTCACTCCACCCACCCACACCCGGACTCCTCCGGCCCACCCACTAAGGTCACGTGACGCCGATAGTGATCGATTGGTTCACGTGACCTTAGCTATAGATTTTCTATTCTTTCTACCGGAAGGATCAATTATTTTGGGGTGGTCGGAACCAAAGTAATTCGAAGGAAGAAAAAAATTTAAATCTCGTTTCCATTTCGAAGTGCCGCCATCTGTTGATTAAAATGCGTTTTAACTCTTTAATTCCAACGCTGTCTGCGTGATTACATTCTGTGTGATTTATGAGAAGCGTAAGCCACAACATCAGCAAATGGAACTAAATCACATCCAGAAAATAATCGTTAGAGAAAATTGTTATACTAAAAATATTGATAAGCTTTAGAGTGATGTTTCAGAAAGATAAAACGAATAAATTATTATTTTTGTTTTTCTAAGCTTAGAATAAACAGATACAGCATTATTTATTACATAACTTGTAATTTTGGTAAATAGATTAATGGTACTCTATGCTGTTAATATAATATTCATTAATGTAAGAATTCTACATTATTGGTTTATCTATAGATTTGACCATATCGTGCCAGTTTGAGGATCCTATACCATTGGTTCATTAGTCTGAAAAGTCTACATTGCCCATTAGTTTAAAAATACCACAATGGCAATTTCTTAATGATATAAGTATGATATTCATAGCATTAGATAAGACTGGTATAAGATTTCCAAACAATTGGGTGGTAAATCAATGGTACAGGTTTCTCACCGATTGGATACACAATAGTTGAGGAACCTATACTATGGCTAAATGGTTAGCAATTTCAGTAGCAATTTCTTAATGATATTCTTAATGATATAAGTATGCTATAAATAGAATATCATTAAGAAATTGCTATTGAAATTGCTAACCATTTAGCTATGGTATAGGTTCTTCAACTATTGTGTATCCAATAGGTAAGAAGCCTGTACCATTGATTTGCCATCCAATTGTTTGAAAATCTTATACCATTAGTTTATTACTATTGGTTTAGACATTATGCCATTAAGTTAGCACCTACTAATTTGAGGATACCGTACTAAATGGTGTATTTCCACTTGTTTGAGGATCTTCTATTATTGATTTACAACCTACTGATTTGATTTGTTACTACGATTTTTATTTTATATAATTTGTTATCTTGGTCTGTATATATAATGCATTAATAACTAAAATCTTGGTAAGAAAATCCTTCACAATCAAAATATAACAAATATTACAAAGAAAAATCCTACGTTTTATTGTTTTCTAGCAATAAATGAGCTTATTTAATGTAGATTTTTAAAAATTTCATTTGTTTAACTGATTGCTAACTTTACGGAAACATTATTAAATAATTTACATCTTATAAAGAAAAAAATACGTGTGTAATTAAGGAAAATGTAATTTAAAAACATAAAAATAAAGATTCGAATTCAGAAAATGTAAATGTCAAAGAGGAAAAAAAAACAACAAAACAAAGAAATTCAAGTAAATTTTCCATTATTTAATCAATAAGAGGAATGAGATAATCAAATAAATCTATTTTAAATACAAAAAGCAAACTTAATCTGAAAGTTTTAAATAAAAATAGAAATAAATTGCATTCTTTGAAAATTCTTTTTAATGTATATAAACCGTTGCACATAAGTGAAAATTATCGAGATTTCATCTTATAAAAGTTTTAAAACTTCAAACAGAATAATGTATTCGCATAGAAATGATTTATAGTTATTTTTCTTATTCTAGTTTTAAATACTTCAAGTAAGAAAAAAAATCTAACTTTAAGAAATACTTTTTTTATTCTTTTTTTTTTTATAAATCCTCTTTCACAGAAGGACAGAATTCAATTGTGTCGTACAGAATGCTTCTAGCAATGAAGTATATTTTTCAGAAATAATTTTTTTTTCTTGTTGGCTAAAAGCCAAATAAAAAATAAATTTAATTCGAACAAATTTTAGAAATATTTAAAAATTCTCGTAAATTTCTAAAACTATTCGCTACGTTTTAATTTTTTCAAGAATTTTATCAATTTTTTTTTGGGGGGAATAATATTCATAATTCGCAAGTTTAAAAATTATAACTAAACTTTAATGTAATTTAACTAATCTAATTTTATTTATTATATATTTTTATATATATTTTAACGTTAAAAATAAAATTTATGTTTTAAATTTACTGGAAGATATTTACTTATGATTATTCATGTAGATATTTTATTAATTAAGGAAGATCAAAAGTTTTCTTGTGAATAGATGTGTACATAGTTAATCAGTTATTTTGTATGTTCTAAGTACACTCGTGATTATAAATCACAAATTAACTTTCTGAACAATGCTTAATTATAAAATTACTATTTAGTTGTATCTTAGAGATACAATAAAATAGAAATTCAATCTTTACAATAGTTAACTGACTTTTAGGCTACTCTATAGTTCTCTTATTACATAACAGTATCTGAAATTCTAACAAGAGTCTAACTTATAAATATTACAAATTATAT